CCCCAAGGTTGGGCGCGGCGGAGGCGGAGGCGGGGGTGCGGGAGGGGGTAGTGGTGGGGTCGGGTCGTCTGGTGCTGGAGTGGACGAGGGGACCTTGCCCAGTCCAGCTGAGCCGCCGCCCCTGCAGTTGCAGCAGCCGCAGCAGTCGCCGCAGTCGCAGCCGTCGCAGCAGCCGCCGCAGCCGTCGCAGACGCGGCAGACGAGTGTCCTCCCGCCAGGGTGGCCCGGCGCTGGCGGTGGCCGGGCGCGTGGTGGTGTGTCGAGTGGTAGCTCTGGCGGCGGGCGCTGTCAGTACCAGATCCAGACCGGTCCTCGCCGCGGCTTCGTTTGCGGTAAGATCGGTCACTCCACTCCCCGCTGTTTTCGTCGCCTGGACGACCTCTTTCGTCAGCGCTTCGGCCCGTCGCCAGACCTCCCGGACTGGCACAGTTTGCTTAGTCGTAAGATTCAGATCTTTGATATGGACATGGATGCTATTGTTTCTGCTCTGCATGTGATGTATGCTGATGACTCTAGTGTGCTTCCTGCTTATTACTCACTGTTGCCTAGTGTAGGTGTGCCTAGTGTACCCTCCCCTGCTGCGTCAGGCGTAGGATCCTCTGTTTTGTGTAGTCTTGGTGCTTCCGCCGTCGTTCCGTCGCCAGACGCCTCTGCTTCACTTTCCTTCACCTTGGACTCTGGCGCTTCTCGGTGTTTCTTCCGCGACTCCACCACTCTGACGCCGCATCCTGTCCCTGCTGCCGTTTCTCTCGCTGACCCCTCTGGCGGTCCGGTAGTCGCCCGCAGTTCCACCACCCTTCCATGTCCGGCGGTTCCTTCGGGCTCTCTTACAGGTCTGCATATCCCCTCGTTCTCCAGGAACCTAGTTGGTGTCGGCTGCCTCCAGGACCTTGGCGTCACCACTACGTTCCCTGGTCACGAGCGGTATGCTGTCTGTACCGAGGCCGCCACTGGTGCCCCCCTGTCCACGTTCCCTCGGGACCCGGTGTCCGGCCTGTTCACTCTGGACACCGTGCCCCCCCCGGCTGGAGCGCTCACCCAGGTTGCTGCCGCCTGCTCCTGTCGGTCCCTCACTCACCCGACCCTCCTTTGGCACCACCGCATAGGTCACCCTGCGCTCCCGCGTCTGCGTCACATGTCCCAGCACAGTCTTGTCCTTGGTCTCCCAGGTTCTCTCCTTGCGTTTCCCTCCTCCCCAGCCCCACCTTGCACGCCTTGTGTCGAGGGTCGGCTTCGCCGTGCCCCTCACTCCTCCTCGTTTCCCCCTACCACCGCGCCGTTGCAGACCCTGCACCTGGACGTCTGGGGCCCCGCCCCCGTCCCTGGGCCGCGTCGAGAGCGCTACTTCCTTGTGCTTGTCGACGACTTCACTCGTTACACCACATTCTTTCCCCTGGAGCGCAAGGCTGACGTGCCTGGCGCTCTCATCCCCTGGCTTGTCTCTGCGCGTGTCCACCGCGGTCTCCCTGTCCTGCGTCTTCACTCAGACCGTGGTGGCGAGTTTGCCTCAGGTGTCCTTGGTCGCTTTTGTCGTGCGGAGGGCATCACCCAGACGTTCACCCTACCGGACTCCCCACAGCAGAATGGGGTCGCTGAACGACGCATCGGTTTGGTCATGGAGGTGGCTCGCACCTCCATGATCCATGCCGGTGCACCCCATTTTCTGTGGCCGTTCGCTGTGCGCTACGCTTCTCACCAGCTTAATCTGTGGCCGCACCCTCAGCAGCCGCAGGTTTCGCCGACCCGTCTTTGGACTGGGTCTCCTGGTGACGCGTCTGCGTTCCACGTCTGGGGCTGCCTTGTTCACGTCCGTGCCTCCGGCACGGACAAGCTCACTGCCCGCACCCTTCCCTGCGTCTTCCTCGGTTTTCCCCTTGACGCGTCCGACTGGCACTTTTACCACCCGCCGTCTCACCGCTTCTTTCACTCTCGTGACGTCACCTTTGACGAGTCCGTCTCCTACTACCGTCGCTTCCCCCACCGTGGTCCCCCGGTTACCCCCCCCTGTTCCTGGTCACTCCTTCCCCGGTAGTCCCTGCCCCTCCTCCTCCTCCTCCCCGTCCCGCCCCCTCTGGTGTGTCCCACGTCACCCCCCTTCCGTCGGTGGACCCGGCTGGGGAATCTTCAGACTCTGGTGGCCCTCCTGTGCAGTCCTCGCCGGCCGCCCCTCCCCAGTCCCCTCCTCCACCGCCTCTGCCGCCGCTGCAGCCGTCGTTGCCGCCGCCGCCGCCGCTGCCGTCGCAGCACCCGTTCGCTGACTCTGGGGGTGCTCGTCCCGGTAGCCCTGGGGGTGGTCCCTCTGGGGGTGCTGGTGTGGAGAGTGCCGGGGGTAGCCGAGGAGCAGCTAGCGGTCTCGGTGTCGCCGTTGTGCCGCCGCAGCAGCAGTCCCCGCCGGTGTCAGCCCTTCGCCTGCTCGGCCTGCCGTCCCCCGACCCTGCGTCGGTTCCTCCCCGACCGTCTCCTCCTCTTCCTGTCTATGGCCCTGTTTTCCCTCCGCCGGACTCGTCCCTGGCCCGTCTCCCCCCTCGTTCCCCTCCTGTGTCCCCTCCTCTGTCTCCTGACCCGACTCCTCCGTCGCACGTCTGGTCTCACCGTCCCACCCGTGCTCGTCCTGCCTCGCCTGTCCTGCGCTCCCACCCTATGTTGCTTCGTTCCCACGCGTCTCGTCCTCCCCTTCTGCCGTCGCCTCCTCCTTCCTCCCTTGTTGTTGCACCCCCCCCGCTGTCTAACTACCTTCGTGCCGCTCGTCCTCTTGTTCCTCGCGTTCTTGCCTCTCTCGTTACCGACCCGTCTGTTCCGGCCTCGTGCCTTGACGCCCTTGTCGCTGCTGTCGCTGACTTCGCCTCTTCCCGCCGCCTTGACTACGCCTCCGCTCTGGTCTCTGACCCTGCCTGTCCTCCGTCTGTCGGGGGTGCTCCTGCCCTTGGCAGTGACGTCCTGGAGGACCGCCAGTTCGAGCTTGCTTTCCTCTCCGAGGCTGCTCCCCATCTCTGTTCCATGCTGCTAGTCCCTGAGGGTGACCCAGACGCTTGTGACATCCCGACCCGTCGCACTTACGCTGAGGCGACCTCGGGACCCTGGGCCTCGCAGTGGATAGCTGCCATGGAGCAGGAGATGGCATCTTGGAGATCCATCGGCACCTTCGTCGACGCAGTTCCCCCGCCTGGGGTGAACGTATTCGATGGCCGCTGGCTCTTCAAGGTGAAGCGCCCTCCTAGAGAGCCGCCTGTGTTCAAGGCGCGCTACGTGGCTAGAGGCTTCAGTCAGCGCGAGGGGGTGGACTTCTTCCAGACCTTCGCTCCGACCCCGAAGATTACTACTCTTCGGGTTCTGTTACACCTAGCTGCTCAGCGTGACTACGAGCTTCACTCCCTCGACTTCTCCACTGCCTTCCTTCAGGGCAGCCTACACGAGCAGGTCTACCTACGTCGCCCTCCGGGCTTTACTGGCACCTTCCCTCCTGGGACCCAGTGGCTTCTGCGGCGCCCCGTCTACGGCCTGCGCCAGGCTCCCCGTGAGTGGCACGACACTCTCCGTGCTACGCTTGCTGACCTGCAGTTCTTTCCGTCTTCCGCAGACCCTTCCCTCTTCGTTCGTGCTGGCCAGACTCCGTTCTACATCCTTGTTTACGTCGACGACCTGGTCTTTGCCACATCAGACAGGGACGCACTGGCCTCCGTGAAGGCAGAGCTGCTGAAGAGACACACGTGCACTGACATTGGAGAACTGCGCCGTTACCTTGGCTTGCAGATCTCCAGGGACAGAGCTGCGCGCACCATCACCCTGACTCAGTCACACTTGGTGCGCCAGGTCCTTCAGAGGTTCAGCCTTCAGTTCTCCTCTGCACAGCCCACCCCTCTGCCTGTAGACCACAGGCTCTCCGCTCCAGTGTCTGAGGAGTTGGTAGAGCCCAGCGGCCCCTACGCAGAGCTGGTGGGTTGCCTCATGTACCTGATGACTTGCACTCGCCCAGATCTCGCATACCCTCTCAGCATCCTGGCTCGTTTTGTGGCCACAGGCAGACACCGACCGCAGCACTGGTCTGCCGCTAAGAGGGTTCTGCGTTATCTTGCTAGTACATCGGGCATGGGGTTAGTGCTAGGAGGACGCAGGCCAGTGGTCCTTAGTGGACACACAGACGCTTCGTGGGTAGACGACGCTGAGACACTCAGGTCTACACAGGGCTAGTGCTTCAGCCTTGGCTCAGGTGCCGTCTCGTGGAGAGCTACTCGCTCCTCGTCTGTGGCGCAGTCCAGCTGTGAGGCTGAGATCTACGCTGGTGCCATGGCGGCACAGGAGCTCCGCTGGCTGACCTTCTTGCTCACTGACTTAGGTGAGCGGCCTAGCTCTGCCCCGGTCCTGTTCGCTGACAACAGGGCCATGATCCTCCTGTGTCAGGAGCCTCGACTCGAGGGCAGAGCAAAGCACATTCAGCTGCGGTACTTCCTCCTGCGTGAGCTACAGCAGCGACGTCAGGCTCGCGTAGTACACTTGGCCTCAGGTGCCAACACGGCTGATATCTTTACGAAGGCGCTTGCGCCTAAAGATCATCAGCGGCACTGTGTACAGCTTGGTCTAGTTCCTGTAGCCTCTCACTTGCTAGGACCTTGACTTTGTACTGTCCTTTATATGTATACTCAGACTGGACTTGTGTCCTCTCCCAGTGGCTGGACTAGTAGTGCCGCCCTGCTCTTGTTCTTGCCTTGTCTGTACTCTTTCTGACTGGTCTCTCAAACCCGTGTCTCAGAGGTTGGACTAGTAGTGCCGCCCTGAGCTGCTTGTTTAGGACATTCCCCTATGCAGTCTATGGGGTGTGTCAAACATGTGTATTTGTCATATTTGTATAGACTGTATAGGGTAGCCTCTTAAAGGGTACAACACTTGTGTGTACCCTCTCTCTAACGATCATTCACTTATTCAATTTCTGATAGCTATCCCCCCGCATAAGTCACCCATGAAGTGACTATTTCGGCAGGTGTTATATAGGGGGGATTACGGTATAAGCCATAGGCCTTTCATTGTTAGAGACATTCTGTAGTCACGCCCCCCTATAGAATTCTGCACTATACTCTTGAGTTATGTTTCATGACAATGAAGGCCTCTTCTAGAATAGCTCAGGGCGTAATCGTACCTCCCATCTGGGCCATCTCAGGTACACTAGTTGCTGATCTGGCTGATAGGGTGTATGCAGCAAGAATAGACGACCATGGGTGTCCCTTTCCAAAAATTCTAGCGTGCATTAGAATCCTGCAGAGCAGATCCCTCGCAGGAGCAGCAAGAGAAGTATCTCATCTCCTTACTTGCGGTGGCTGAGGAGAGCAGAGATCAGTCGATTCACGCCACCATTATGCGAGTGCGCGATTGCTGGGGCCTTGCAGCGCACGGGGGATGTGGTGCGCGGCGCTATGCATGCGGGGCGGAACGACATGCATGACACCAACCGCGGGCTCCGAGCCACACAGGTCAACCGGGGCGTCTCCTCCGCCATCGCGGGGGGAAAGTCCTCCTCGCCCTCATCCCCTTCCCGCGTACTCGAAACGCAACTCTTTCCTGCCGCCCGCTCCTCGTGGCTCCCCCCTTGGCGGCGTCTGCCAACACTCCCGGCCGACACGCATCGCGCCATTGGTGGCGGCGACTCCTCGTCGCCGCCAATGTCGTCTTCGTAGCCGCTCCCGCCAAACCGCCCAGACGCGCATGTGGGCTGCGCGGATGACTCGGGGGAGGAGCCTGACAGGGCACTAGAAGCCCCTGATCTACCAACCTGACTGACGGTGCTTCCGCCGCTGAAAGCGGAAAGGCTCCTGGCGCTGCTTATGCGGCGGCGCGAGGCGGACCGAAGCGGGGAGTCGGACCGGGATGCGGAGCTCGACCTGGACGCCGCGGGAGTGGGGCTCGTGCTGCCAGTAGCAGTAGTACTAGAGCTCGATTCCGCGATCTTGCCCCCCCCGATTAGTTCGCGTTCGCAGCGCAATGCTGCGAGTCGGTGCTGCGCCTCAAGCACCTCCAGCCTCACTTCCAGCAGCTTTAGCTGCGCCGAAGCCTCTGAGGTCGTCGCCACGTCAGCATCACGTGAGCTCAGCGACACGTGCGTCGCGTCCCTAGAGGGCCTCGCAGCGGGGCCAGCGGCTAGCGGCGTGGGAAGATGATAGAGGCCGAGCAAGAGCAGGTCCGAGTCAGGCCGCAGGTACGTCGGCGTGAGCGCGTCAGTGGACACGGCGGCACAGCGTTGGTCGCGGCGCGGTTGGCTCATGGAGCGGCGGCGGATGTCGATATCCCACATCTCGTCGTCGTCGTCGTCGTCGTCGCTCGCCGCGGTAGCAGCCTCTGCGCCGCCGAGCAGGCCTCGTGGTTCCGCAGCCAGCGGCTCGACGGCGACGTCCAAGAAATCGACGTCGGGGATTTCGACGCTCAGCTGCCGCCGAGGCATCGGCGGCGACGTGCAGCTGTCGCGAGGAGGCATGGCGAACGACGCAGCGGCAGTTGGAAACGAGAAGGAACGTGTAACCTCCTAGTAAGGCGTAAGAATATGGGAGTCAGCTCCGTGGGTCCAGAAGGCACAAGACTCCAGCAGCACAACTCGTCTGTTGATCGACTCGAGGAAGGCTTTCTGTGGGTGGATGGAAACATAACGCACAGCTCCGCAGTTGCTGTTGGATTCGTTGAAACTATTCCCCCATCATTTTTCTCCTGCCTTGCCTTGCCACCACCACCAGCTAGGTCAACGACCACAAGCCATTCCCTCGCATGTACAGTACCTCACCTCATGCCTGGTGCTGCTGTCATGTCACACACCCTAGAGCCCTCGTAACCGCAATGAATGCTGCTCACAATGAAGCCTTTTTCCACCGTCCGTGCCAGTCAACCAGTCACGGCGACGAATCATGGTTGATTTGTTGAGTCAGGGAGGGAAGGAAATAATGGAGGCCAGCCTGAGAAATTACAGACGAAGGTTTCACGGTCAGCGAAGAAACTCGGTGAACAGTAACACGGACTGTCGTAGTTCCTGAGTGGTTGGTGGTGTTATGTGGCGGGTGAGTCTGGTCGGTATACGGTTTTGAAACTAAGAATTTCCCATGCTTAGTGCAGACTGAATGGGTTTGGGTGGTGTAGCATGATTTCCTATAGTACGAACTCGAATTTGTTTGGATGGGATACAACTCTACGGAGAAAATTTACGAAGCATGTGGCTTGCCAAGCTGGAGTAGATACCGTACAGTATCTGCGCGATGCTTTGTAGCACCTGCACCCTGTGGTTCATTACGTCGACGGAGCTGGCAGAGGAGGACCAATCTAGGCTTATCCACTGTTTCCAATTGTATATGTAATTATCATCATAATTTTTTTGTTTTGTTTTTGAAAGCAAATTATAATAGTAGAACATGCAGTTCTCTATGGTCACTCTCATGTTTCTATTATACTGATCGCTGCATGCGTAGTTTGACTGGGTCTGGACAAGTGAAACTGATCAGAATCTGATACAATCGAGGCTGGTTGTACCGAGTGCTGCAGGATGTCAGAGCGCGGGAAGCAGCAGGTCGCATTTGAATTCCTGTCTCCATCTGCTCCGCGCCTCCCTCATTCACACCAAAGCGTGTCTCTTCGCCATTCCCGATCCACCCTATCCAATAATCACTTCTCCCTTCAGACCCTTCACAATCGTGCCGGATTTCCCAGTCTGGTAGGATTCTTACATATCGATCACATCCCTCGACTAGAAACGCGATTGACAGCACATCGTCTGTTCTTTCCCCGGTCATCCTAGCAGGCACCATGAAGCGGTTCGCGTTTGAGAACATCGACCCCAACCATCCGTCGCAGCGCGGGTCGGAGAGGGAGTCGTCGTCGAAGATCCCGGCGCCCACCACGGCGTCGAAGTTGCTGCCGCCGAGCCATCTCATGACGCCTTGCACGCCGCGCCTCAGCTTCGCCTTCGCGCACCCGCCCGACACCCTCTCCAAGCCAGGGCCCAGCGGCCCGCCTCGCCGCCTCTCACTCATGCCGCCCGCATCGTCGACCCGCTCTTCCATGTGCCCCGCCCCGCCCGTGGGCCGGCAGAGCCTGGCGGGCGGCAAGGGCGCCATCGGGTCGAAGGCGGACCCGCGGCCGATCAGCAGCAAGGCGTACCAGGCTCGGTGCGCGGAGTCGGTTCTCGAGTACCTCCTGGCGGCGGGGTTCGACCGCAGCGTGAACCGCAAGGTGCTGGCCATGCCGAGCAGCAAGGACTTCTTCCGCATGGCGGAGTTCCTCCTCGCCCGCATCGACCCGCGCTTCAAGCTGGGCGCGAAGCCCGACGACGACCTGGTGGCAGCGCTCAAGTGGGTGGGGTACCCGTTCAGCATCAGCAAGAACGCGCTGCACTCCGTCGGCACGCCGCACACGTGGCCGCCGCTGCTCGCCATGCTGCACTGGCTCGTGCAGCTCCTCAACTACCACGCCGCCACCACCACCGCCGCCGCTGCCGGCAGAGTCGACGACGCGCACTCCGCGCCATCAGCATCCGCATCCGCACCGGGGGGGGCGGTGAATCCGATACGGCGGATGTTCGCGGAGCAGGTGCGCGCGGGGTACCGCGTGTTCATGAGCGAGGAGGACGACGCGGCGGCGGAGGCGGGCAGCCACGCGGCGATGGAGGAGTTCGTGCGACGCAGCGACGCCGTGCTGGACGACGTGCGACGCAGAATCGCGCAGAAGCAAGAGAGGGTGCAGCGCCTGCAGGTGAGAACGTGCTCCGCGCACACGCCCTTCCGCGCACACATGCCCTTCCGCGCACACATGCCCTTCCGCGCACACATGCCCTTCCACGCACACATGCCCTTCCGCGCACACACGCCCTTCCGCGCACACATGCCCTTCCGCGCACACACGCCCTTCGCGCCGCGCGACCATGCCCTCCAGCGCGACCAGCGCGACCATGCCCCTGCGCACGAATATGTGTGGTAGCCTTCCCTGCCTCGCCCCACTGTCGTCCACGTGCGTGTGTGTCGTCCGTCCCGTGTGCCGCAGGAGCAAGTGCGGCAGGCGAAGGGCCCGTCGCGGCTGGAGGCGGTGGTGGCGCGGCGGGCGGCGGTGGTGAAGGAGGTGGGGGACGCGGAAAGGAGAGCGGCGCAGGCCAGGGCGGAGCGCAAGGTACGTGCGCGCGCACACACACACGCGCGGCGGTGCTGTTTCTATTTTTATATTTTTCAAATCCGGGCTTGCTTTAGCATTGCGGCGATCCTCTTTCCACTGTCAATTCTCCTCACGCATTCCACACCTCAACGCCATGCGCATATAGCCCAGCACCGTATTAAATATCCCTCGCGCTCTCGCCTCTATCTGTCCGTCCCTCGCCCTGCCCGCCCATCCGCGCGCCATCTGCCGTACGCGGCGCGCAGGAGCTGGAGGCAGCGCTGGCGGAGAAGCGCGCGGAGCTGGAGGAGCGGCGGCGCGCGGCGGCGGCGAAGAAGGCGGAGAACGCGCGGCTGCGGGCGGCGGTGGAGGCGCAGGGGGTGACGGCGACGGAGGTGGAGCGCATGATGACGCTCAAGACGCAGCGCGAGGAGGCACGGCGGGCGGTGATGGCGGCGCGCAAGGAGGCGGAGAAGGAGGCGTGGGCCGCGGAGGTGGAGGTGGCGCGGCTGGTGGCGCAGGTGGAGGCAGGCGCGCACGAGTTCAACGCGCTCGCCGCCAGGTAGTTGCTGGCGGGCTGACGGGAGGGAGGATGGGCGGGCAAAATCGGTCTAGTGTGCGGACGGCAGGCAGCAATATGAGCGTGCCATACCCGTGTCCCCACGTCCCCTGCGTTCACCCCGTGTACCCCATGTGTTGGTGCAGGCGCATGCTCGTGCCCGAGACAGCCAAGCGCGCGCACGGCATGCAGTACGACGTGAGCGTGAACCCGCGCGCAGACACGTGGGCGGACATGCTGGGCGACCGCCACCCGAAGGCGGACATCCGCGCAGGGCTGGCGGGCGTGCGGCGCGCGTACGAGGAGAAGCGCGCGCTGCGGGAGAGGCAGGTGGCGGAGGCGGAGGCGCAGGTGGAGCAGGCGCAGAGCGAGGCCAAGGACGCACGCGCGGCAGCGCAGCACCTGGAGAAGATGCGCACGCTGGTGAGAGGGAAGGGGGTGGTGAGACGACGGGGGTGGTGAGGGGGGGGTGGAGGGTGCAAATGCATGGTGTGAGAGAGGCGTGGAGGGGCTCCTGAATGGAGAGTGCGACGCCACTCCATTGAAACACTTAGTCAAGGCATAACGGACATGAATTGTAAGGAGACGTGCATGGTATGCCTCCTCACTCGCTCATGGCTGTGCCGTGCTGTGCTGCTTGTGGGCCTCTGAGTGGCTATGCGTGCTATCCTCTTCCTGTGCACCTGGACTGATACGGACCTGTTCTTGTGCGTGCATGGCTTTCCATGGCACGTGCAGATGGAGCAGGACGAGAGGGAGGAGATCCTGATGCGGCAGAAGCACATGGAGGCCATGGTGGTGAAAGTGAGCGAGAATGAGAGGCGCGTGCGGCAGGTGGAGCAGGGGCGCAGCGATGAGATCTCCCACCTGGAGCACCACCTCAAGGTGAGAGACGGCCGCAGGGCAAGGTGAGCCGGTTACAGGGCAATGTGAGACAGTTACAGCGCAAGGTGAGTCGGATACAGGGCAAGGTGAGTCGATTACAGGGCAAGGTGAGTCGGTTACAGGGTAAGGTGAGTCGGTTACAGGGCAAGGTGAGTCGGTTACAGGGCAAGGCGAGTCGGTTACAGGGCAAGGTGAGTCGGTTACAGGGCAAGGTGAGTCGGTTACAGGGCAAGGTGAGTCGGTGACAGGGCAAGGTGAGTCGGTGACAGGGCAAGGTGAGACGGTTACAGGGCAAGGTGAGACGGTTACAGGGCAAGGTGAGACGGTTACAGGGCAAGGTGAGACGGTTACAGGGCAAGGTGAGTCGTTTACAGGGCAAGGTGAGTCGTTTACAGGGCAAGGTGAGTCGTTTACAGGGCAAGGTGAGTCGGTTACAGGGCAAGGTGAGTCGGTTACAGGGCAAGGTGAGTCGGTTACAGGGCAAGGTGAGTCGGTTTAAGGGCAAGGTGAGTCGGTTACAGGGCAAGGTGAGTCGGTTACAGGGCAAGGTGAGTCGGTTACAGGGCAAGGTGATTTGGTTACAGGGCAAGGTGAGTTGGCCACAGGGCAAGGTGAGTCGGCCGCAGGGCAAGGTGAATCGGCCGCAGGGCAAGGTGAGTCGGCAGGAGGGCAAGGTGAGTCGGCAGGAGGGTAGCAGGGTAGAGGAGATTGCAAGTGGCCAGAATTGATACTACCTTGCCTACTGCACTCGGCTCTGATACAAGTCTTATCCCTGATGTCCTTCTGTTCCAACTCTCTGTGGTTGCTTGCCCATGTGCAGGTGGCAGTGGCAGAGAGCCGTGCAGAGCGACGCAGAGAGGTGGAGGAGATGGCGCAGGCGCTGCAGCGAGTGACACGAGTGGATGGCCTGCTGCAGGTGCATGAGGACTCGCTCAGCCACACTGTGGCAGTAGTTGAAGAGAGCTGCAACAGGGAGACACTCCAACCATTGCCAGAATAGGAGCACTTCTACAACCAGCTGCTTCTGTTCTTCTGTACTGGGCTGATTTTCTGCTGCTTCTTTGCTGTTACCGGAGCTCCTCTTTTTGAGTTCACATGATGTACCCGTAGTCCCCCGGATATAGGCGCAGCCATTTATTAAGCCCAGTGGGCTTATAGAGTGCAATCGCGCTTATAGCCATTATTTCATTATAAGCGCACCCTTTTTTTAGAAAATCTATTCCCTAAAAGCGCATTGAATTATTATTAAAAAACATGTGATTTGCGAAACTTCCATATCGAAACTCTGTGCCAAATCTCCCGCAGCACTCTCGCACCCCTCCCAAGCACCTCGCCAGCCAGATTCCTGATCCCTTTCTTGCGTATGATTGGTCCATACCCTGCCTTCTCAGCATAGTTGTGCTGGCGAAACTTTCGCCAGAGATTACGCGCGATATTTCTGCGCGTCCCCTTTTGAAGACAGTTGTATTGGAAACCAAATTAACCCAGCTACATTTTGGTGTGTTCAAATCATTTTTCCATATAGTCCTTCGTATTAGCGTATGTGCTTATATTTTTTATTCGATTACAAGCGCATGCTGCTTTTTGAACCTAATCCCTATAAGCACATATGCGCCTATATCCGGGGGATTACGGTATAGGGGCGTATTCCTATGAAGTTGTGTCAGCACTATAATGGCCTTTGCTGATGCTGATCAGGCCTGACGTTAAAAAAAAAACCCCCTTGAGCTGTCGACTAAAAAAAAAAAATTTACCCTGAGGGCTCAGTTTTCAAAATTTGCCTACCCTGATTTGTAAGTGTTCAGTAATCTGGAACCCTGAAAATCCCAGGGTTCACCGAACGCGTTCAGGGTTGCCTTCAACACGAGGGGGGAATAAAACATGGGGGGAAAAAGGGGAGGGAATCAAACCGAGGGGAGGGGGAGAGCGAAACGGAGGGGAAGGGGGAGGATGGAAACATAGGGGAAGAGAGGAAGCGAAACGGGGAGGAAAAAAAGGGGGGGGGGGGGGGGGGGTGGGTTTTCGAAATACAGTAGAGAGGAATGGGAGAAGCGAAACGGAGGGGAAGGGGGGATCGAAACGGAGGGGAGGGGGGAAGCGAAACGGAGGGAGAGGTGGGGATCGAGGCGAATGGGGCAGTGGCAGAAACTTCCCGCGCGTGCAGCGCCATGGGCGAATCGAGGACGTTAATCATACGCGATCATCTAACGGCTGAAATTTGTCGAAACGTTCGCGATTGATCGTGGCCGTCAAAGCTTGATGGACTTTCAGTTGATCACACGGGTAAGAACAAAAGTTTTCTTAAGAAGGGGGCATAGTCGCTAGTACCCTTGAAATTTAGAATTAGGTACATTGCGAGCTGCGAAACCTACGGTACCTTCTTCATATTGATGACTTGATCGTTAGCCTTTTTTATGGGTTGTGGGAGTGTGGGAGGGGGGACTTGTGTACAATAGGACTAAGCCGTTTTTTTTTTGTGCTGTAACTGCCTATCAAGACTTAGCTAATTTTTGTGGGTTGTTAGGTGCATAGAGGGGGTACCATGTACGACACATAACTTAGCCGATTTTTGCTGGAAGCCGGGGTTATGTTTGGCTCGTCTCTGGCTTTACAGGGGTTTTTCCAGATGGGCCCAAATCGTCAGAGCTAGTAAAAAAACTAGCTCAGGTCGCGCAAATCTGAGCCGTTAATGACTGACCAACGATGAACAGCTGAGAAACGTCGAAACGATCGCGTTCGATTGGACCGTCAAAGTTTGGTGGATTTTTTTTGGGGAACTGGGGGCCTGGGGAAAGTTACGAAATGAACCAATGCTGCTAGAAAACAACAGTTTGGCTAAACGGAGCGGTGAAGCGAAACCGAGGGGGCACGAGGATCAAAACGGAGGTGAGGGGGGGATCGATATCGAGGGGGATGTCTGCGAGAGCGTGGGAGGGGGAATGTCTGTCTGTACACGAGGACTTTAACATTTTTTTGTTGAGGATAGTGCTACTCTGGCTACTAGGACTTAGCCGATTATTTGTGGGTTGTTGCGGGTGTAGGGGGAATGTCTGTACTACAGGACTTAGCCGGTATTTGTCGATTTTTGTGGGGTGTGTAGGGGGAATGTCTGTACAATTAGGACTTGGCCATTTTTTTAGGTTGCTGTGTGTGTGGGGGTAATGTTTCCAAAGATTGGGGACTTCGCCGAAATTTCAGGGCTGTGAGGCACATGGATGTCGCACTCAGGGTTCGTACGCGTTGCTCCATGAAAACTCAGTATTGGCGTAACGCAATCCCCGAAATCCCAAGTGTTTAGAAACTTACAACCCTGAAGGGGCTAGGGTTAAGAAAAGTCCAACCCTGAAAATAAAGGGTTGGAAAAAAAAACCCTGTGAAATCAGGGCATCAGGGTAAAATACCCTGATAACGACAGGCCTGATGCTGATGCTAGCTCAAACGCATCTGTTTTAGAACCTGCAGATCAGAAAAGTAGAACAAATTGGCCGCTTGCGAGGTTTTGAGTCGTCGATTATTTTTTGTCATCCATGCGGAGACCATGCTGTGAAGTTACATATATATTATTTATATATAGTTCTGTAGGCTTGGTAGGATAGATATGCTACATTAGTGGACAACCCCCGCTTCTTGTATATCTTCCTCTTCCTAGTCGACCCCTTTTTGCTCTCGTCAATTCCTCTCTCCTAGCACCTAGCAGGCCCTCAGATTTCATGATTTTTTTCCTGATGCGTCAGTGTCGTATCGCGTATGTAGACTGAAACAACATTTTGTCAAACATATATTGTATGTTTTTGTAGATTATATAGGGTTGTGCCTTAGGGAGTACAACCCATTAGGTTATATTCCCTTGTATGCCTTGTTCTAGACATACTTTCACTTGAACATGGTATCATGAGTAGGTAGGTCCCCCCCCCCCTTAGCGCTTCCGCCCTAGGTCCTAGCCGCCTTGTCGCCACGCGGCCCGTCACCTAGCGGCCCCGCGGCCCCGTCCCCTAGCGGCCCCGCGGCCCCGTCACCTCGCGGCCCCGCGGCCCCGTCCCCTAGTGACCCCACGGCCCCGTCACCTCGCGGCCCCGCGGGCCCGTCACCTAGCGGCCCCGCAGCCCCGTCCCCTAGCGGCCCCGTGGCCCCGTCACCTAGCGGTCCCGAGGCCCCGTCACCTAGCGGTCCCGCGGCCCCAACCCCTAGCGGCCCCGCGGCCCCGTCACCTCGCGGCCCCGCGGCTCCACTCCCTGGCCGTCCACATCGACGGTACGCTCCCCTGCCCGGACCCCCCTGCTGCCCTCCTCGCTGACCCCACCTCTGCTGACCGTGAGTCCGCTGCAGCTGCTGCCCTTGCCCGTGCTGCTTGGTTGTCGCGTGACGCTGTCGCACAGCTTGCGATTGGTCATGCCCTTCCCCTGTCCGAGCGCCCCCGCTTTAGGTCCGTCAGGACTGATGGTAATCGTGCAAATCTGGAGAGAACTAATTAGAGATTAAGTTTGACGATCTCAACGAATCATTGCGTGCTGCTCAGGTAACTTCTAGAAATGAGCTTATACGCGTTGGAAAGGTCTTAATCTCTACTTTCCAGAATGGTAAAGCACGTTCATAACCAAGATCTGAGCCGCCGATTATGACGAAATCAGTGTGAGGGGGTATTCTGGTAATTTGGCTAGGCAGCCATGAATCACCTAGTAAAAAACGAGAAGGGAAGCAGTTCGATCTGGAAAAGTTGCAGTATGTGATTGTCAAACACCACCAACCCTTGCCCTAGACCAAACCCCAACACTCTCAAGTGCCATGACTGCAACATCAAAGATGTTGTAGTGGATTTGAGGTTGTATGGGTTGGAAAGGTAACGAGTTCAAACCTTGCCAACCAACCCAAGTCCTTTTGCCCAAAACCCAATAGCCCACAACCAGCTAGAGCAAACTACACCACAGAATACTACACATTTATCACTCCCCCTTGCTCGTGCTGGGTGTGGCTCAACACCATAGGGCAAAAGACTTCACACCACTCCCCCTTGCTCATGGGTTGGGGCCACCCAGAGCATGGAGTCCGCCAAGGAGAGGAGCACCAAGACGCCGGCATCTGCTGCGGGAACCCTGTCATCATGGGGCTGCATCCCGAGCAAGGTCATGCACACACCATGGCGCTCAAATGGAAGAGACTTGGTAAGAATATCAGCAGCCTGACGGTTGGTAGGGCACCACTGCAAAATCACCTCACCCGCAGCTACCATCTCCCGAATGAAATGCCACCGGACCTGCATGTGTTTGGTGCGGCCATGCAAGCATGCATTCTGTGCAAGGGCAATGGCAGACTGATTATCCACAAACACAGGCACACCACCAGCATGATCATGACCAAACTCCCCAAACAAACGCCTCAGCCAGACACCCTCCTGAATGCACTGACACAGACTTATATACTCACTCTCAGTGGTAGAGAGTGCTACCACGGGCTGCCTCTTGCTCTGCCAAGAGATAGCTGCCCCATTCAGACAGAACACATACCCACTGTGGCTCCTGCGACTTGCGGAATCTCCAGCATAGTCAGCATCACTGAAGCCAACTAGCTGGACCTGAGACTGGGGCTGTGTTTGGAAGAAGATACCTGACTTGACACCACCTTTCAGGTACCTCAGCACTCTCTTAGCGGCCTGCGAGTGAAACATTTTAGGACAAGAGGCGACCTTAGATAGCTGTGAGACTGCAAAGGCAATCTGTGGCTGTGTGGTAGTACAAGCATACATGAGGGATCCCACAATGCTTTGGTAGAGCTTGACCAGCTCATCTCGCAGCAAGGGTTCATCCTCATAGGCATGCACATCAAAGCCTGTTGGGAGAGGAGTACGCACGGGGTTGGCCTCTGAGAGACCAAAGGACTGAAGCATGTTAAGAATGTACCTCTCTTGATGAATCAAGATACCACTCTCATCACGTTCAATTTGCATTCCCAAGTAGTACTTCACCTCCCCCAAGTCCTTCATGCGAAAACGCGAGGACAAGAACTCTTTCACTCGATCTAGCAAAGCCTTGCTAGAGCATAGGAGCAAAAGGTCATCCACATAGAGGAATAAGGAGATCCGCTCCTCATCTCTCACAAAGTGGTACAAGGCAGGGTCACACTCAGATCTCTCAAACCCAAAATCCATGAGAGCCTCATCAAATTTTAGGTACCACTGTCCGGGGCTTGCTTTAGCCCATAAATGGACTTTTTGAGGCGACACACTCGGTGAGACCCATCATCAAAACCAGGGGGCTGCCGCATGTAAAGCTCTTCCTCCAAATCCCCATGGAGGAAGGCTGTCTTGACATCCATATGATGGATATCAAGCCCCAAAGCAGCTGAAATTCCAAGCATACCTCTCAAGGTCGCATGCTTCCCAACTGGAGAGTACACTTCTTCATAGTGTACTCCCAATTTCTGCGTGTTTCCCATCACCACCAATCTGGACTTAGGCCTCTCAACAGTAGCATCAGGGTTATGCTTGTATTTCCAAACCCATTGACACCTGAGGACCTCCAAACCAGGTGGTACCACTGCTGGATCAACCAGCTCAAATGATCCATTTACCTTGTGAGACTCAAGCTCCTCATGCATGGACTCAACCCATTCTGGACGGTTCAGCGCCTCGTGGACTGACCTAGGCTCATGCACCTGACCCATGAGACACACATCAAGAGCATACTCATGCCCATGCATGTCCACAAGCATGCAATCATCCAAATCAGACACAAGATGATCATGCATGCGTGCAATGTGCCCCGGGGTAAACCTTTCAGGTGGCTGGGAAATTCGAGCACTGCGTCGCAGAGGTGTTGCCTCTCCTTCTTCCAGCCTCCGCAGCTTCTCCTCCCAAGTCACCCTCTTCATTGGAGTCCTCGGAGTCTTGGACAGCTGCTGGTCCAACAACTGCTGCCAACTGCTTCTCGATGGAGTTGAGGGCACATGCTGCTCCGGCTGATCATCACGCGCATCGGCCTGCGTGGCTGGCTGAGGGGTAGAATCTGTCTCTCGGGACTCCTCATGGTTAGGATCAGCTGGTTCTGGCTCCTCCTGCTGCTCCTCCCCTTCATCTCCAGGGTCCTCCCATGCCCCCTCAAAGATAGAAGCCGTATGAGGGTCTTGAATGGAAGTCCCACTTTGGCTTGTACCATGCTCCTTCCACCCCTTAAAATTCAGCCCCTCATGGAAAACCACATCACGGCTCTCCATCACACGCTGGTCAGCTACACTCCACAGCACCCAAGCCTTGCTCCTCTCAGAAACCCCAAGGAAGATCGCCCACTGTGCCTTAGGATCTAGCTTCCTTCTTTGCTGGTCAGGTACCTTATACTGTGCCATGCACCCCCACACTCGTGCCATGGAAACATTCGGCACCTTCCCTGTCCAGAAGGAGTATGGGCTCTTGCCTCCAAGCCCCTTGCTGCCCATCCTGTTCTTCACCCAGTTGGCATACTACACTGCTGCCCCCCACCAAGTGTTATCAAGCTCGGCATGGGAAAGGATGGCCCGAGCCAAATCGGTCAAGGTCCTGTTCAGCCGCTCCGCTGCCCCATTTTGCTGCGGCGTGTAAGGTACAGAGAGCTGGTGGGTAATACCCTTTTCTTCCAAGTAGGTTTGAAGTTCTTTCCCAAGGTACTCTCCACCCCGATCTGACCTTAACACCTTTACCTTGGCCCCTTATTCCCTCTCCACATAGCGTATCCACCGCTTAAACACCTTTGCCACCTCATCCTTGGTCTTCACCAAGGTGACCCAGCTAAGTCGACTGAAGTCATCAAGAAAGGTGACAAAGTACCTGCTGCCCCTTTCCCGGTCAGGAGTTTGCATCGGTCCACACACATCCGTGTGCACCAGCTCAAGGGGAGTCGAGGCATGATCAGAGGAGATAGGGAATGAGGTTCTAGGCAGCTTTCCAGACGTGCAGTCGGGACATTTGCTCTGCTGCCCAGCTCTTTCCTTGACCTCCACCCCCTTCAGCTCCCCCTTCTTCACACACTCCAGCAGTTGCTGCTTCCCCGCGTGCCCCATGCGAAGGTGTAGCAACTCAGGTGACACCGTTTCCACCTGCCTCCAGCGAGTGCTACAAGCGGCTTCCTCAGAAAAAACCATATGTGCCTTGTAACAATTAGGCACACAAGCTGGAACAAGGTATAAACCCTTGTCCAACTTTGCCTCCATCACCACAGCTTCACCCTTTCTAACAGTACACCCTCCCTCCGTGAAAGTGCAGATGTATCCCTGTTTAGCCAGCTGCGAGCATGAAAGGAGGTTTGCAGCCAAACCAGGGACGTGAAGGACCCCCTTCACACCCACTAGCTCCCCCTCCTTCCCCTTAATGGTGATCGTGCCGATGCCAATTGCTTGCAGCAAATCTCCGCTCCCAACAATCACGTTTCTCGAATTTGGTGGGAGAGGATGGTACGAGGTGAAGAGATCACGGCGAGGAAGCATCCCAGATGTTGCTCCAGAGTCTAGAACCAGGAAGTTAGGATCAGCCAATGCACGACCAGCGAGAGCTGCATCCTGCCCTAGCATAAGAAACGAGAAACCATCATCGGAGGAGTCGTCTTGGCCCTTCCCCTTCTCATCCTTAGCAGCTGCGGCCGTTGCTCCCTTGCTGCCCTTCTTATTCCAGAGCCCCTTCTTCATCCTTTTCTCCACCCAATCAGGTTTGGTCACTGGTGGGGCCTCTCCAGAGTAGCCGTGAGGCTTCCATCCCTCAGGCCTACTCCAGCAACTCTTCCAAGAGTGTTTTTTGTTGCATCCGGGCACAAGGCATTTGTCCAACTCTTTCTTCTTCCCCCCACCTCCTTGCTGTTGATAGCCTTTCCTGAAGGAAGCTTTATCTGCTGCACCCATAACTCCTTCTAGGCCTCTTCCAGCATCAACCTTGCGAGCCTCATCAGAAATTAGAACCTCCCAAATCCACACCTTGGTCCATTTCTGTTGCTCGAGGTGAAGGTACTGTAGTAATGCCTCATTAGCCGCTTGATCCAACCCTTGGAGTGCAGTATAGATGATCTCCTTCTCATCTACCGTGTAATCCAGCTCCTCCAAAGCCCTCACATTCTCATCCACCCTCTGGAGATACTGAACCATGGTCTCCCCCTCCCCATAGTTCCGCTCCATGGTGTAAAACCGCTTCCGCCAAGTAAGCACGCTTAGAAGCCCTTTCTGCAAGTGCCTATCTTGCACTCTTTTCCAAGCTGCAGCTGCTGCACCTTCCTTCCCCTTCAGGTCAATCAGCATCTTAAGAAGCTCAAGTTGCCCCTCCAAAGCCCAACACAGGTACTGAAATGCCTGGCGATCCTTCCGATCCCATGCTTCTTGAGCTTTGAGCAACTCCTCGCGACTTGGTTGCGACCTTCCGGTTCGAGTTGCAGCGGTTCCTCCTTCATTCCCCCCACTCAACGATGCTCCCCCAGCCCCGGATCCCACTTGGCTGGTTGCTCCAGTAGACGCCTCCCCAGAGTCAGCTCGTGGTCGCTTCTCCGATCCATCCAACACACTTTCTAGGTCCTTAATACCTAGCCATAGTGTGAACTGGAACCTCCATAGCGAAAAGTCCGAGCCGGTAAACCTAGGAGGGCCATCCAACTTTTGGGCCATGTCAAACCCTAGATCTGGAGCACTTCAAGCCTCTCTAGATCTCTTCCAATGGAGGAAAGAACGTCCTCTAACCGTGGCTCTGATACCACTGATGGTAATCGTGCAAATCTGGAGAGAACTAATTAGAGATTAAGTTTGACGATCTCAACGAATCATTGCGTGCTGCTCAGGTAACTTCTAGAAATGAGCTTATACGCGTTGGAAAGGTCTTAATCTCTACTTTCTAGAATGGTAAAGCACGTTCATAACCAAGATCTGAGCCGCCGATTATGACGAAATCAGTGTGAGGGGGTATTCTGGTAATTTGGCTAGGCAGCCATGAATCACCTAGTAAAAAACGAGAAGGGAAGCAGTTCGATCTGGAAAAGTTGCAGTATGTGATTGTCAAACACCACCAACCCTTGCCCTAGACCAAACCCCAACACTCTCAAGTGCCATGACTGCAACATCAAAGATGTTGTAGTGGATTTGAGGTTGTATGGGTTGGAAAGGTAACGAGTTCAAACCTTGCCAACCAACCCAAGTCCTTTTGCCCAAAACCCAATAGCCCACAACCAGCTAGAGCAAACTACACCACAGAATACTACACATTTATCAAGGACTGCGCAGGAGTTCTTAGAGGTTGTTGTTGCGCGCTATTCCACCCCGCCCTCTGCCTCTGTAGGTTGCCTGATCCTGCCCATGCTCTTTCCTGACATTGCGTCTTTCCCCACTGTCGGTGACCTATCCGCCCACCTGCGCACGCTAGACACGACCTGGCGCGCTGCTTGCACTGAGGCTCAGCTTCGTGTGTTTCAGCCCCCCATCTGCTCTACCCTCTACCTGCTTGCCACCCGCCTCCCTGACCAACTTGCCACCGCCCACGATCACTTCCTTAGTCTCCACCCCGCTGACCTCACCCTCACTGACTTTGTCAACACCCTGTCTGCCATATAGACCCGTCAGCGCTCTATCGCCCAATCTAGCGGTACCGTGCCAGTCTCTATCTTTCAGGGCTGTGCCCCTGCTCAGTGCTCTTACTCCGACGGTTTTGCTGCGGTTGCTGAGACAGCTCCGGCTGTGGAGACAGCCGCCGCAGTGCAGTTTCGTCCGGGTAAGGGTCGCCGCCCCAAGGCTGGGCGCGGCGGAGTTAGCGGAGGAGGGGGTGGTGCCGGTGGTGGAGGTGGCTCGCCCGCTAGTAGTACTGAGGGGGGGGCTGGGGCAGGTGCCTCGGAGCAGCAGCCCCAGCAGCAGCAGCAGGCTCCACAGCTAGACCAGCAGCAGCGGCAGCAGTAGCAGCAAAGGGTCGGCCGTCTCCCGCCCGGGTGGCCTAGAGCTGGAGGTGACGGTGGTCGCAGTGGTCGCTCCCGCGGCGTGTTGTCGGGTGGTACTCAGAGTGACAGGCGTTTCCAGTACCAGCTCCAGACCGGTCCTCGCCGCGGCCTCGTGTGCGGTAAGATCGGTCATACCCCCGCTCGTTGCTTTCGACGCCTAGACGACCTGTTTCGTCTCCGCTTCGGCCCGACACTGACCTACCCGACTGACACAGTCTGCTCCGTCGTCGTGTTCAGATCTTTGATATGGACATGGATGAGATTAGCTCTGCTTTGTATGTGCTATATGTTGATGACTCTAGTGTGACTGGTTCCTATAACCCTGTGTTGCCTAGCGTAGGTGTGCCCAGTGTGCCTAGTTCAGGCTCCCCTGCTACGTCAAGCGTATGATCCCCTGCTTTGTTTAGCCTAGGGTCCTCCCTTGCTCCTCCGACCTCTGTCGCCGCTGCCGCGCTCTCCTTCACACTGGACTCCGGCGCTTCCCGATGTTTCTTTCGCGACTCCACGACGCTTACGCTGCTCCTGCTGCTGTTGCTCTTGCAGAATCTTCCTCCGGCCCTGTAGTTGCCCGTAGCTCCACTACTCTCCCCTGTCCGGCGATTCCCCTAGGCTCCCTTACAGGCCTGCACTGTGACACGACTCAATGGCACGAATGCATCGGAAACAACACCATGGGAAATCATTATCATGGAGACAACATTCCTAGCCAAAGACTGCACAATCGATGCATCTCCTAACTAGTGTTGATAAACGATACGATTTATTTTGACGAAGTCATCTTCGTTAAAAATGGATCGACATCAACACAGTGAGATCTTCACCAAGGAAAAATAATGGAGCTGCGTGAAGACATGTTCCCCATCCATGAGACACTTCATCTCATAACCTATGGGATTGCAGAGAAGTAGCCGTTTTCTCTTGCAATACTCCCAAGTTCAAGTTGTTGCGAAAGAGCAGATTTCGCACGCAACGATGACGCAGTGAACCCGTCTCGTCAATGCCAGCGAGACACTACTTCGTAACAGGAGCTAAACGATTCGTCTTCATCAAGAATCTCAGCCATCCGAAGTGATTGATTGGAGTAGTCTCAATATCGACCTCACGAGGCGACACACCAATCATGCGTCGCGATTCCAGGTGTTAATGGCCTGTGTGGAAAATTTTCCGTGCATGTCACGATGCTTGACTGATTGAGGAGCAATTAACCTCAAATCCGGCAAGTACTCGTTCACTAGCGACCCTACGGCATATGCATTGGAGGCGATTCTACCAGAAGCCGAAGCGTTACAAGCATCAGCTTAACTTCAACAGGAGAATGCCAAGCAATACGAGGTGTCAATACACGAGGGAGATGCGGACTACTACAACACGATCACACGCTCTACCCACCGTACATCGTAGGCACGGATGAGCATACCAGGAATTGCTACTCGTGGATACATTGAGGGGAGAAGCAAAATTTTATTCATACCCTCAAATGAAACAATCACCGGCAGCAATGGAGCAACACATGTGTACTAATGTGCACGTGTTCCTAGTAGTTACGCCTGTTACACCCATCAGGAAAACTCTACTTGGATGAGGGAGTTGATGGATTCTCCTTCAACCATTAAGAGTGAGAATTCTCTGGAGCAGCTGCCGCCGTCGCCATCGTCGCAACTGCTGCCGCCGCCGTAGCAGAAGACTCGACACAACAGTCATATCCAAACCCTGTTGGATGATTCTCTGCTCAATGGAGAAAACGCTGGATTATATTCCAGTGGATCGTAAAGACCCGGCCAGGCACAATACTATGATTTCGAGCTAGTGGGAAGGAGATACCACTATGCACTGGAATAGCTATCGCAATGCCATATACCCTCAAGAGCAGGAGATATTTGCTCTTATGAGGATGGGAGGACTACGATACACTATCGGTATACAAGTCCTCATGGTCTATGGCTTCCCTTAAAGCCATAATACCTGCGTCGCAACCAATCTATCAACAGCACCACCTCCATGGAAGCAGATAGGCATGAAACGAAGCGCTGACGCCACTCCGGATAGTGGACTCCGCGTATCTCCAACAACACCCCTGTTTGTCGAAATGGAGCAGACTTTAACACTGATGCTGAGTAGCTGAGACGTCTTCGACATCAACGCTACTTCATGGACAGTAACAGAATGAGACAACACATAATGGCACCAGAAGACCTATCCCAATATGTGCGCCCAGACACCGATGCCTACCGATGGCCTTCGTGCTAAACTGGAAGTGCATAAGGTCATATTGGATTGGCTGTCACCAATGCCCATTTGGAAATGGGAGAGGATTATTTGGGAATACCCCTAATATTCCCAGATGTCCTAACCCATCACCGTGGGATATCTACGCGGTTGAGATTCCTTGCTTGAGCAACCACCGAGGGAAACTAATTTGGCACTGATTCTGGAAGTTACCAGCTCCGTGTTTGTGGTACCAACCCCTCGCATGGTTTTGAAGACAAGGGATATGCTGAGCAGCACTTCACACACGTTGTTGTACTCAAGGCAGTGTGACTAGCAGACCGCGTGATGGATAGAGCTACTACACGCGATTTTGCTCTCCATCCCGCAGCAGTACAATGCCAAGAGGGTACGACTCGCGACAACGCTACGGCGCGGACCAGCATTCGACAGAAGCTGCATGTATCTGATGCAATGCTGCTACAGAAGCAGGACTATGACACGACTGCAGCACCACCAACACTTAGTCATCTTCATACGTGGACGGGATGCGCGTAACACCGGGATGTGCTAAACGCATGCTACAGTGTGCCAGCTAGAGCACCCACCGAAAGGACAGTACATCTACTCTTCCGCTACAACATCTCGATCATGATCAACGCCATCTGCGTACCACTAGACACAACAACCAACAAATCCATTTCATCACCGTTGTCCATCAGCTCTAACACCGGACACGACACTTGGACATCCAACAGCAGCAGGAGCACCTGGCTGCTCATCACTACAGTTATCCACACCATAATCTCGACATCAGCCATCTTCCATCCAAGCTTCAACCTTGCTTCTGCGGGTCTATCCTCATTGAAGCAAAGATCACTTCAGTCACCTTCTGCTTCCGCCTACCAGCCACTTGGAAGATCCATAACGCCTTCCATACCAGCTTCTTAAACCCTATCACGACCAAACACGCTCTACACCGAATGCCAACCACCGTCGCTGCCCATGTTCATCCACGCCATGGGGAACTACGTGCTCGGACACCGTCGTCGTCAGAATGGCACTCTGGCACTTCTTCTTTGCTGGAAGGGTTATGATACTTCTGAGGCTGTATCTCTGAATTCGACATGGGTAACGGCCATCGTCCTCTTCGCAACTACCTTGTCAAGCAGGGTGTTACTTCTACCACCCAGCTTTGAGGGGGGGAAGTGTGAGAGTACGACCCCGTTACACTAATTTCCCCTTTTCATATTTCCTTTCTATTTCATTCCTCTTTTTATCCTGATTCATTTGGTCTTTATCTCATCTCATTTGGTTTCCTATTCCTCCTTTTCCATTATCCTTCAGTTTATCCTGTTATTATAATTATATCACCGACCAGGCTCGGGATGTACTGGTGCGCTATATCTAGCATAATCCTGCCGTAATCCCTTAAAGCCAATAGCCTCGCGTGGCATATGCAGGGTGATTCTATTTCTAGAAGGGTCTATTCCCTTTGGATAGGATAAACCTGGTTACCTGATGTACTCTGGTAGTATAAAAGCACCTTGTACTGATTGATAGTGTAGCATTGAGCAAACCTCATTCGATCCTGTGACATGCACATCCCCTCACTCTCTTGGAACCTAGTTGGTCTCGGCTGCCTCCAGGACCTTGGCGTCACCACTACGTTCCCTGGGCATGAGCGGTACGCGATCTGTACTGAGGCCGCCATTGATGCCCCCCTCACCACGTTCCTCCGAGACCCGGTGTCTGGCCTGTTCACGCTGGACACCGCTTCCCCCCCGGTTGGGACGCCTCCCCAGGTACCTGCGTCTTCCCAGGTTGCTGCGGCGTGCTCGTGTCTGTTGCT